GTACAGTGAACTGTGATTTTAATATAAACTGGTGACTTCTTCAGCAGTATACTGTGGAGTGCTTCCCTGTTCCAAGGACTGGGTGTGCACCACAGTATCAATTTGAACTAAGACTATCCCAAACCTTTTTTCCCCACCTCTGTCATTTTTCTTGTTCATAAGTCAGCATGGCAAGTCCTTAACAAATAACTGCCTGGATGATTAAGGAACTGGAATCTTCCCTCATCTGCCATGCACTTTGCACCGGGAGGCTAAAATAAATGCTAATCAGGTCTTTCATAGCAACTGCTCCACATGGAAATAAAATACTTCTACTTGGAAAGAAGATACTGATACATTTTTATTTAATATTTGAGCATTCCTATTTCTTGCTGAGTGAGAAGAGAAAGAAAGCTAAAATAACCAGTGACTCACCCCTTTATGATACACTCACCCCTGACAGATACAGCATATAGCAGCCAGTTAACCCTCTGAATAATGCTTTTGAGATAACGGCTGACTGCAGCAAGAAAAGAGCATGGACTTCCAAATCTTTACTTTTTTTTTTTTTTTTTTTTTTTTTCCCCCCTAAGGCCTGTTTCCAAAAAATCTTAAAACTTCAGCAATAGACATGAGCAATAATTTCTAAGAATTTGTTTTCTTTTTCTTCTGACAAAAGTGAAAAAAAGCATAGAAATGGTCTATCAGTGTCTCTGTATCTCATTTTATTTCCCAGAATTTCACTACCAGTTGAGCAGTCAAGATCTCTTAACTGATCTGTATGTTGTCTTGTGGCTTCCTAGTCTCACTCTGGAAGGGATGGCTATTTCTAGCCAAGAAATCCCACAAGATGGGTTTGAAGCCTACAGTAGTTTCTAACATAGTTGTTGTTGCTGAACAGATCACACACTTTTTATTTTATTTTATTTTTTTCAACATCAAAATCTTTCAATTATATGAAGTGATTTATGTTATCAAAGCATCAAGGTGTTATAATTGTGCATCTTAAGGACACTCCTTTGAAACTCCATTGCCAACATTTTGATGGGGATTTGTTGTATACCAGATACAAAATATACAGGTTACACAGAGGTAAAGTACAAACTCTGATTTGCTATGTATTTGAGCAAGCCATAAAAAATAGTGACAAATACATGAAAAGATAAAATGTATTATTCAACAACTGTTGTCACTTACATTTTTATCCAACACTGAGGTTTAGAAAATAAGAGTTCTATGTTTAGATCTAGTCAGGTAAAGCAGGGGATTTTATTTATTTTTAATAACTATTTAAATGAATAATTTATTCTCTGAAGCTACTGAAAAGAATATAAGATCTTTTGCAAGAATGACCAGCTTCCCTATTTTCCCCAATTTCCTTAAATATATTTCAAAAGTAACGGATCAGTTTACTACATTTTGAGGAGAGTTCTGGGTCAGAAATATACATCATTACAGTTGTATGCAATCCACCTCTCCAAGAAAGTAGATTTAAGACACACCAGTCATCATCATTTCCTTAGTAAATAGCTAAAACCACCTACACTCAGCATCCATTATCGTATGTTCCACTCTGATTCCCAGAACTTTCCCCACATAGTGCCTAAAGAACTTGCATGTGACTTCAAGTCCATAATTTAACCTAAAAATACATAAATTTAATCATACATGATAGTATTTCTACATGCCAAGTAGAAACAGAAACCAGAACTTTGTGATTTTAGTTGTCCTCGTTAAAAACACTCTCTCCTTTTGCTCCAGCAAAACCTTAGCTCCTACCTTTGTCCCTGGACCTTTGTGTCTTCCTAAGCATAATAAAATTCACAAGTAACAATAATCACAAGCATATATCCAAATCTTAGTACTCAAACTTATTAGCTGTATCCTAACTAAGGGTCCAGTGGATCTTTATCACTTATTAGTATTCTGACATCTCTGAACAATATAAGCAGATGTGTAGCAGTTTTAGCATGACTGCCAGTTACCTAAAAAAAATATACTACTAGTAATAAAAAAAAATCTGTGCAGGGAAATGAGTTGAAATATGGATATAATTTCCAAATGGGGAAGACTCTTATTGTTTCAACCCTTCTTTGAGAATATGTTATGATAATTCCCACTGACTTCAGAGATGCCTATCTGCTTAAAGAAGAGCTGACGACTTGAAGGTTTCCCAGCTGCTAAGCTTAGCCACAAAGTCACTGATGACTTCAACAGATGGTCCTGCTTTTAGACCATTGAGAACTTTATGAGCCATTTATCCTCCTTCAGGCAACTCATCATCTGAAATAAGAAACAGAATATACTAATGTATTTTGTTACAAAATGCTCTGGGACATGTCCTCCCTGAGTGGCATCCAAACACCCTCAACTTGAATACAATTGCTATAGTCAAAAAACTCAGCAGAGTTTAATTTTTGTTGTTTGATTGTGATCAGTGAAACAGTTTGAACAGTACAATAGAATGAGAACATTTGTCTTCTCACATGAAAAAGTCAGGTTTAGATAGGTTTTATGGAAGGAACATTATGGAGGTTGTCAGGGAACCAGCTCTCCCTTTCCACTCTCCTTTTTTAATTCCAGAGCCACAACAGGGCTATTCAGCAAATAAAATCTTTCATCAAAAGCACTCACTGGGAGTCAGCCTGCCTACAGTCCTTCTTTTCAGAATCAAGTGATTAGACGGAATCATAAGAAAATCTTTCATGCAGTTTTTTAAAAGCACAATTGTTTTGCTGACACAAGACAAAATTAATGAGACAAAGAACCAACTCTTAAATAGTGTATACTTTATTGCAGTAAATGTTTCTTAGTGAAGGATGTGCTTTTTGAAAAAGCAATTGAAGCCACCATATCTTTAGTCCAATAATATCTGAACATGCATTCATAAGTGTCATAATGTATATTCTATATTAATTTGTGGGCCCACATCTAGCCTTAATTCTACCAAAGAGATCAGTGAGGTTCAGCAGACATGGCATTTTAACCAACAACCTGTTTTTCCAAACTTTATCTTAGTGTTTATGAGTAGTAAGTCTCTCCAGAATGTGTAAAGGAGGACTCTGTGATCTAGGACCATAATGATTAGGTAGCTGTGTCTAAGGGTTACTGAAAGAGAGTTGAAAGAATGTGGGAAAATCTTATTTTTCCATTCACTCATTTGCCATTAACTTTACTACTTTTTCAAAATGTAAGAGAGTTAAAGAATGCAATCAATTTATTCCCACACACTCACACTTTCTGTATTTCACATTCACACTTGGTCAAACAGGCAATAAAGGATACTCTATGTCCTGTAAAAAATAATTATCTTTTAGATCAGGTCTTAATTCATCATTTCTTGTTGTAAATTCACCTCAAATGATGTTGCTAGATGATGAGCTATACCACAGAATCTAATCTGTTTTGTAATTTGCTTTGTGTTTGTTGTTGTTGTTGTTTTGTTTTTGTTTGTTTGTTTTTAAAGGCATTTAATGTGCATTAATATGAGTTTACTTTAGAAAGACTATCTGTAATGCTATTGCAAAAGCATGCATTGTAAAAGTCTAGTTCTATACCATCATCTGTTTTGCTGTGTTGTGCCTCTGATAAACCCATTGCAATAACTATGGGTTGATACAGAGGCATCAACAACTCTCAGCAGCAAATCTGCAACTTTCAGTAAAAGCACAGGAGCTTGTTAATTTTTGGTGCTAAAACTGTGGAGTTTTTAATGGTGTATTGAAGTTGCAGGTCAGCATTACAAGTTTGTGCTTTCATAAATAATTCATTTCCTATTATTGAGCATTTATGAAAAAAAAAAAAAATGAAAATAAATCAACAGGGATGGCAGTGTGCTCCAGTCTCGGATGAAAAAATCGCGACTATTATTCTTCGTCTCTAGAGAATGTTTGTAATACTGCAACCCTAATCAAACTTGCTATGGGGTTTCTGACAAGCTATTTATTGCTTAATTCTTTCTCCTTTCTGCACCAATAAAAATTTTATTCTAAACATTTGCTGTTGAATAATAGAAACCTGCTGTGAGATCATTCCCACTGATTGAAGGCTGATTATTTTCATATAGCAGCTGTCACTAGGTATTCCACTTCCTTAAACTCTATCATTAGAGAGGAATCACAGATCCATTTCTTACTGTAGATCAGGGCATTTTGGTAACTGTGAGCCTGCTGAGCTAATTTTCTACAGAAGGGGAGTGGGAGTTCAGCTTAAATTAAAAAATAAAACAAACAAACAAAAAACACCTTGTTTTAACCATATTTAAGTGAACAGAAAGCTTTCAAGTTTTGTAGGGATATCAGTCGGGATATTGAAGTGAAGACTTCATTGGGGGATCAGAACCTTTGGAAAGAGTGGGAAAGATCTATCAATTTCTTTTGGTGAAAGCCTGGTCTCATTCAATTTAGTATGATTGGACAATCTTTAGTAGGTCTTCCATTCTATACTTATACTTTCTTTGCTTGGATTATCCTTCCTGTATTTCATTAGCCTTGTAAACATTCCGGTCTTAATATGACCACTAATGACCTACTAATGAAATTTAAAGAGGTATTTTAGCTATTGTATATACAAAGATATATACAGATATATCTTAGTATCTTAACAGGCTATAAGACTGAGAAGCAGACTTCAGGTTATAGTTCCTACAGTAAAGAATTTATGTCTCGGTGTAAGTATACACCTTATAAATCCCCATGTATGTGAAAAAAGTGGTTCTGTGAAATTGATCTGATGCCGTTTTCTAGAAAAGTGTCAATACACCTCTTTGAAATGGATTGAAGTGGACAACATAGCATAGTCCATTTTAATGCTATAAAGTCTATAAGATGTTTGTGAGACAAAAGTTATGTAAGTCACAGTTTTGTGATAAGTTAAGCTTATTAATTTTAGTTATATATGTCAACCTTCTGACACTAACATCCAGATAGAAAGTTATCTTCATGGCCCAGAGGAGGAAGCAAACAAATGCATCATTTTGTAGAGAGATTAGTTCAATTTATTTTGTTAGGGCAGGTGAAGCTTACCAAATATGGCAAGAGCTAGCCCACAGAACTTGAGCCTATGTGGCCAGTAGCAACTGACATAGTGACCTACAAGAAGATCCCTTATTTTCTGTGTTACTCAATATCTCCAAGTCAGCACACACTATATCTCCTTCTATACTTGCCTTTCCATTTTCACCTCATCCCACAGCAGCTAGATAAAAACAGGAATGTATATAGTAATAATATCCTAAACAGTTGCTGATAGCACAGCACTTCCCCTGATTTGAATATTTAATTTCAGATTCATAAATTTAGATTTGGAAACAAACCATCAAGAAATACACAATAAGTGTTATATTTTTGAGAATATTGTTATTGTTATCATGTTATATGAGAAAGTATTCTATCCATGTGGTGTGGTTTCTCTTTTTTTTTTTTTTTCCCCATTTCCACTCTATCAAGTTCTGTGTATTAGTATTTCCTTGTGAACAATGGTTACTAAAACACACAGGTGCACTAAGTTCTCCAAGAAAGATGTCAGATGGAAGAAAAATTTTAATTCTGTAGATAAAATCCATTGTTTGCAGAACAAGAGAGTTTAATCCTTTTACACACAGCTACAGTCTCTAGCTATGTGGCTGTGTCTGATGTGTGATATGTACGTCCAGATGCAGCAACAGATACCTCTCACTGGAGAATGAGGCATGATGCAGATCAATTATGAGATCTATCAACAGTTCTCCTTCTGGCAATGACAGCATTTACAGTGTGCTGGGGCTCTGCTTAATGTTGAAGTTTCAAAAGCGAGAAAAGGCTTGTCTGCTATTTTCAGATTCTGAAAAACAAAAACATATCAGGGTCAGAGCCTAGGTTATAAAATTGTATCCCAAAGCCTGTGAGTTTCAGAAAGTTATGAAGTGGAGAGAAAAGGTGCAACAAACCTTCACAGACTGTAACTGTAGATCTTGATAGCTCTCCCAGCTGCAAAGTTTAAATGAAAAAATATGATTTGTATTTCTTCCTTTTAAAAAGAGCTACCACGGTTAAGATCAAATTCAATAATACACTAAAGAGAAAAAATAGTTCAAAAATAAAGTATGTGACAGTGCTAGGTTAATGATTGGACTTGGTCTTAGAGTTGTTTTTTGGTGTGTTTTTTTTTTTTTTTTTTTTTTTTTTTCAAAATTAAGTGATTCTATGAATGCAAGAATAGATTTGAATTATAGCAAAAGTTACATAATTAATGATGACATACTTGTAATTAGTATTTCTATATAACAATGTTAACAGCAAATTAATTTTATGTCACGATTCTGTTGAATTACTTCTTACTCAAGAAGAGCTAGAAGGCTGAGTGTAGGATTTCCTCTCTGTCACTTTGAAGTTTATGCTGAAAACCTCACTGGACAACCAAGAGCAATGCTATAGTTGGATTTTCTTCCCACATACGTTTCTCAGGAAAAAATAATTAGTTGTGATTGGGATTTATCTTACCTGATCCTCAATGCACTAAGTATGATAAACCTTTACTTCCTTTAGTCAAAAGAACAGATGACAAGTGTATCTATCTTGAAGTGCATTTCTAAGAAAACTTGCTATATTTCTCCATTGTTTAAAAAGGAAGACTGGATAAGTAGTTTCAACTGGAGAAAAGTTAGTCGAGTCAAATCTAAATGATAGTTGCATTGAGAGGATGCAATCACAGTAAAGATGAAGATACAAAGACATCAAGTGAAGCCAAAGAAAATGAAATTGAGAGTTGTACTTCAAATATCAGTACAAACAGTGTAACTTGGCTTGGGCTCATACTGCTGTTCCAGAGTCTTCCAATGTTATCCAGCTCATTCTGAAGCCACAACTACACCCAGGAAACCTTCTAACTCCACAAGCTCAACCAACTGCACTGAGTAGACTTCATGGGAGTTTTGTCACTTAAAATCCATGAAATGGACTCTGATGATGACCACATTTTCAGTACTGAAAATCAGCACTGAAAGAATCTATTCCAGTAGGTCTAACCAGCTTAAAATTCTGTTGAAAGGGTTTAAAATGAAAGACTATAATGAAAACAGCCAGTTTTTTTTTTTGAATTCCAGGCTTCAGCACCTTTCCAGGAGAGGTACGTCAAATTTGAGACTCTAGGAAACTGTCTTGCTTTATTTACCTTTCTTTCATAATTTATTACTACTCATTTCCCCAAAACACTTATAGGTCATATGATGAAAACCACTCAACTGCTCTGTTTTTTTGTTTGTTTGTTTTTTTGTTTGTTTTGTGTTAGTGTTTTTTGTTTGTTTGTTTGTTTGTTTTTTCTCCTTAAAGTCTACAGTCTCTGATCAGTGGCTTTCAGTCAGCTATATGACGCTTTAATATATTTTTCCTCTACTGTCTCTTTATCAGAATCAGAACTAAAACAGAACAGAACTGGAGCAGATATATTTTAAATACTTTTTCAAAGTTATATATCAGAATGAACTGAAAAGCTGCACCAAATGAAGCAATTTGTTTTCCAACTAACAGTTCTGTAGGGAACATTAGATATCAAACGAATTAGGGGATTTCCAAATCATTAGACTTTTTTTTTTTTTTTTTATGGTATATGTAGCATTTCCTTGGCTCTGTTTAGGTTGCTTTTCCTAAGCTTTAAGAAAAACACTTCAGAAAACAAAAAGACCACAAAATATTCAGAGAAAGAATTTCAACAAGTTCTTGTCTATAAAGAAGAGACTTCAATTCAGTGAGCTGTTTTTTGTTGTTTGTTACTTCTTATCATGCTAAAAACAAATCAAAGGACAAGAAAACTTAAAACAGGGAGGATGATTCCTGTGCACAGGAGAACAGATAGACATGTTTTCTCTGAGGCAAGTAACATATTGCAAAGAGATAGACAAGGTTGCAGTGGGAGTCCAATTAAGAGAACTATACAGTGAAGGCACAACCGTCTTTCACCATCTCAACCAAAAAATGTCAGGCTGCACTGAGAGGAATGGATAATTAAAGGAAATAGAGGGCCACTACAAAATGACCTGATACACTTTTTTTTTTTTTTAGTGGATGACTAGTTGAGTATGACTGAACTGAATGAATTTGGACTTTCAATCAATTCTATAGTGAAGAAAGGAAACTAGAAACTGGAAGCATCCATTCACTGTGTCCTCCAAAGACCTTTATACAATGCAATGCAACACACAATTAGACACATCACAAGATTTAATGAAACTGCACTAAAGCAAGAACATAACACTACTTTAGTCAATATTTCAGTGCACTAAACTTCTACCTGACTTTCCTGAGGTCTCTGTTCTCAGCTAGACTGCTTACTGACTCAACAACAATAAAAGAATGCATATCCGTTTTCCAAACAGTTATATAGGACTGTAGTTTTCTGGAGAGTTATTTACAAGCATTTAAACCCTTCAAATAAATAAATAAATAGAATTCCTCTGCTAAAACTTTGTGGTTTCTCATTAAGTAAAGAGAATTACATTAGGCCACAGACATTATCCATAATCTGTTAGTTTAATGCCAGGCATAATTAAGTCACTTTAATTTGGTTCCTTTTGGATTTAAGACAAGCATAGCTACTCTTCACATTTTCAATGACTTGTTTCACCTGTATGCTGAGGAACGTTATAGTTTCATGAGGTAAAAATGGTAATTTTAATATAGTTTATGGAAAGAACATCTCTTTACACCCTTCACCCTTCACAATTTTGATAATCACCTCAGTCCTTTAGAATACACTTCTTTTTGTGTGTTTTGTTTTGCTTTGGGTAGCAAGCCAGACTATTTGTGGGTTTGGTTGTTGTTTTGTTTTTTCTTATTGGGACATTTAATCATTAGAAAATTAGAAGCAATAGTTATAAACACATTCTCTTCACAAGTTATAACGGGCTTTTGAACAACAGACTTTTACAACTATTTTTGTTCTGTATGTACACTTTATTTTCATAAATAATTTTCAGAATTGTCATAGGTTAATAAACCGTATCGTTACACGAACACCTACCCGAGCATATATATACAAGTCTCTGATCTCACAGTAAAATCTGACAATCTGATTACACAGCCTGACAGACTTTTCTCTAAAGGTCCTCTAAAGCAGGAAGATTTGTGCCTTACTCACTATAAGGTTTAAGCACCATATCAATAAAAACCTTATTAGGTAATCCTGCGTGGGTTTTGTTTATTTTCCAGTATTAGACATTTTTTCCACAATCCCACAGAAAGAGAAAACTCAAGGTTGTTATTACACTGTTGTCACTTCCTCTGAGGAAGATAGTTAAGCATGAATGTCATGCCCATTCTATATAAAGGGTCTCTAGATAAATGCAGCCCCAATCATATTCTCAATAAAAGAAAAACTTCTAGATCAGGTCCTTAACATTATTCTGCAACAGGCCTCATCAAAATATATTGCCATCTGGATATAGCCATTGCAACAAAATACATGTACTTAATGCATTCAGTACTGTTAATCAAGTCTATTCATTTTAAGATACAAAGTCCCTATAATTATTTTATAACATTACTATCTTGTACTTATACATTCTGAAACAAAAATGCTATAATGGCAATCTTTTCACTGAATTAAACCATTACATGTTTTGTTGTCTTTATGAAGGATTCAAGTAGCCTTGGTGGCAATTGTTTCATTTTTTATTTTTCTTTCTTCTGTCTTTTCAGCCACCTTTTCTGTCAGAAAACTATGCTAAGTTACCAAGCTATTCATTTCTGGCATAGAAAAAAAAAACTAAACTGTTCTTAAAAACAATGATACCTTACAATATCATCTTTTATTGCTTTCCCAAGCATCTTGTTAATTCCTTAAAATCTCCTTTTGAATAAGTCATTCTGGATTTTTTTTTAAATTATTTTTTTCAAATAGCAAATTTATAAATTCATAAAAAAATAAATCTTCTAATTAAAATAGCAAGTATTATTTCTGACACTGAATGGCATTCAGTACATCTGATACCTGCCCAGCATATGAGCAAGACTCATCTTTCACTTGCAATGAAAAGATTTCATCTTATTTTTGATGCTTTATGCAGACTACCCTAACTATTCTGTCTGATGTTGGTGGCTGGGTTATTGCAGAATTTTTTATTTTTTTTTTCCTCTGAGCAGGGGGTAAAGAATGAATGAGCTTGTAAAGAGAACTTCATTTCCAAATTGGCATTGGTTAGTCTCCTGTGATTACTGGGAACACTTCAAATGTACAGAAACTCCTATAAATTCAGGCAGAATGCCAGCAGAGGAAGTTGAGAAGTTTCTAAGTTCGTTTTAATATTGTACTTGTGTTTAAGTGATAATAAAATGCAAAGAAAATATTAGGATCATGAATGCTTTCTTTTCTAAAGCTCTAAAACAGAAGGTTTCCTACAACCTTTGTCTCTAATTCCCAATTTTCAGGCTTACAATTGCCTAAAGTATTATTCTTTCTAAGGATCCATTCTAATGATTAAGGGAAATCAGTGTCTACAGTGAACTTCAGCAATGCTGTCTTTCAATAATTGAGAGCAAAATTTTTAGATTTGCCAAAGACCAATACAAGCCATACCGTTTTGCTCTGCAGTGGTCTTTCTTCTATTCAGCTCATGTTATGAAATCTGTAAGTATGGCAAATCAAGAATGTATGCATTTTGCTCCTTGTGTAAAGTTTTTTATACTGTATCAAAAACATTGATGCAGCAAATTGATACTCTGGGGGTACTATCAGAAGTAAGAGCATAGTCTTCCATAAGTAATACTTGGTTTTGGTAATGTGTGGATCATACGCACTGTAGAGTGAAAGTGCAATGCCTGTGAAACAAAAGATTAGTCCTTCATTTTGACTCTAAATCGATGCAGAACACACATGACAATCTGAGAGCACCATCTCAAAAGTTCGTGGTTATGTTGTCAGGTATTCATCTAGTTTTAGCTCTGGCAGCTTCTACTCACATATTTATAGCCATATATAATGGAGTAGATATGTATTACTGCCATATTATGGGGAGGAAAGCTGCTCAACAATTTCATGTCAACGCGAGGCTCTGAGTCTTATTTTATCCCAATGTTGCAAGCCTGAACAGAGGGACAACTGATCTTGTTAGATCACTGGGTAGCAAGTACTCAAGAGCCTATACTCAGGAATCCCTGTGAATTATGCAGAGCAACTTTATGTCTCAGACACCTTCGCCCATAAAGCAAACTAAGAATAGTTATGTTTTTTAGCCCTCACAGCAAAACAAGTTTATGTTTCAAGACACAAACAACAGTGTTCTAGCCCTGATCTCTTCAAGGGATCTCTGTCGCCCCTAGGAAACATCGACCAAAAGAGAAGCCTATGGAAGAATGAACTGTACACTAGTAATATCCTGACTTTATCCCCAGGTTCTCTAATCCTATTCTTATTACCTACAAGATAATAGAACAGAAGGCATTTAGTTTGGATGCCATCCTCCTCATTTCTAGATCACAGTGTGTTAATATGGAAAACCACCCTCAGAAAAGCCCTGGAAGCTAAGAAGTTCCCCCAGGCCCATTTACATCTATAGCCTGGGATTAATCTGTGTTACTTTAAGCACATTAAATCTGCACAATCTAAGTCCTAAAACAAACCTGCTTTTTCTTGTAAAACAGAAATTATATTATGAACAGCATTCCAAAACTTACCATTTGAGAATTCGGACTGTGTTGTAGTTTCAAATCTTTACATCAGCATCACTGTTGGGACAAATAATTAGAAATTTAGTTCTATTCACAATTACAAAACTGTTTACATATTGTCAAAATGATATAAAGCATATTTCCTACTTACTCTGGTACACAAAAACAATATTGAAAATTAAGTAAAACCTTGAACCAACACAAACAGTGAAGCTGGAATCAAATACCAACATCTTCAAATTCTCACCTTGACAAATCAAATAGTTTCAACATTACTTTAAAAAAAATAGTTATTTTGAATTCTGAAAGTGTGATCAGAATTTCTCCAAAAAATTCTCCAAAGCTGTTTTTCCTGAGATAACTTTATATTTTGGTTAGCTTCAAATACAGATTCTTGTAGAATTCTGCTTTTCAAGAAAAAGCTTTTTAGCAGGGTCTTGCTAGCACTATCTCACAAAGTGAATCAGAGATCTCTTTCCCTTGCTGGCCCCACTCATTAGGCAGAGCAAATCTCTGAACACAGCTCTCCAAAGCACTGCAGAAGTTATGACCTAAGCATCATTGCACTGCCTTGGGTGTGTGCTGTGCATGCTCCTTGTTACTTGATATTACTGCTCTCCCATTTATCTGAGAAGATAATCATCATAAGATGCTATTTTAAGTCTTCTAGCTTATATTGGAGTTATGTAATTTTCTGATAACCTAGTTACCAGACAATACATTTTCATAAAGATCTGGTAAAAGCAAATACATCCACTTCACCAGTAGAACCTGTATTTTCATTCAGCTGGGACTGTCTGCTCTCAAAATCCACAGCTTTCCCTCCTCAACACCCAACTCTTTGCACCAGTTACTAAACTAGGTGAATGCATCTGATAGAGCATTACTTCCTGTGCTTGCAGAGAAGGTGAATCCAGACAACAGCACCTCAACACAGCCAGGCAAGACATTGGATCAGACACCAATGAGCAATGGGTAGATGCTAATAGCTTCACGTGCAGTCTGACATCTGCACAGCTACTTGAGGGAATTGTCTTTCATCAAGATTTCTGGGGTTTAGAGCAATTACTGCACCCTGATCCAGACAGGAATTAGTAATCTAGGCCGACCAACAGGGCTCCAGAAGAAGCTGTGCTTTTGATCAAAAGGGTAGAAAGAAATGGTGAGGACGAAGCACAATGGAGCAATATAGAATGGGGATTATAGGAAGCCATGTTTCTTTTCAGCTCAGATAGCAAACACCAATTCAGATAATATATAGCTCATTTAAATTTATTGCATTGAATGAAAGTGACATGAACACTACGCACCTTGCCATAGTTTTTTCATTCATTACTATAGGCCAGTTTCAGAAATTCATATTAAAAATAAATAAATAAATATGGTATTGTATACCTAATGACTTACTGTAAATATTTTAGTTGAATTGCCTTTATTCCTGTTTCATATCAATTTTATGGACTATATTTCAGAGAGGATTCATATTGAGTATTGTCTGTTTTATAAAGGATTATATATATATATACTGTAGATTTAGGCAAAGGGCAAATTCAGTTAAGTGCCCATGGATGAATGATATTTTTGCAGCACCATTTATATATAACAAAGATATCAGCTAGGGGATTCTAGGACAGGCATTATTTTTTGCATCAAGTTTTAATCGTAAAAATTGATGACGGCTGACAGCATAATCTTTTCACAAATATTTCTTAGCTCTGAGTACCGTAACTCTTGTGTTTCTACATCACAATCTTACCAATGAGAAGGCAAAACGGCCAGGCAAGCATGAGTTTAAGCACTTTCATAACAGTTCTTAGCAACACTCATGTACATACGGGTTTGTGTTTTTTCAGTTCAGCTTTATGATTGCTCAGAAATACATAGCACTGACACCTTCCAACAGAGAGCAGACTGACCATTAAATCCTTTATGGAAACAGTCATTTACAGTCAGAATAAAACAGATCATAAGCATGCATACTACACACATGTGAATACAGGGATTCAGTCCCCACCAGCTTTGTGCTCTTTGCCATGAGATTCTGCACACACACACAGATGTAAACAGAAAAGGATACTTGTGATCAATATTTCTCTTGAGCTAGGAGATACACCTCCTGATAATTTACACTTAGACTTTTATACCAACCTCTTTATGCCACCACTAACTTCAGAAGATAACATACTCAGCTTTGTACCATAGAAACTCAAGATCATATTGATGCTTTTGTTATTCTGGTTGCTAAAGAACAGAGTGACAAACACAATATAATTTTATTTTATTTTATTTTATTTATTTTATTTTATTTTATATTTTATTTTATTTTATTTTATTTTATTTTATTTTATTATTTTATTTTTAATACTTGATTCTAAACTAAGTACTTTAAGAACTTATTACACTTCAGGGTGAACTGAACTGTTTTCATAGCCCAAGTCTTCAGACTATTCCTTTTCTGCAACAATCCATGCTTATTCTACTTCTTATTAGATTTAAAGAGGATAAGAAAAAAGCACTTTTCTGAGCCGGAGATGGCCTCAGTCCAACTCTCTGCTTGAAGGTGAGATATGGGCTTTTGTGTTTCGTTGGGAAAGTTTTGCATAGTTCCAGAGCTGGTTATCAAACAAAGCACAAGTAGGAAGGTGATGCATCTCCAAGTACCCAGTAATCCCAACAACAGGATATTTACCTGAAACAGAGTCAGAGTAACAACTTATGCCAGCACACTTCATCTCAAATGTCATTCAATGAATATAATATAGACCAAAAAATGAACTTCTCTTCTTTAATTTAGATCTAAATAACTCCACCTAAAAGGTCTATGAAAACGGTTTCCTTTTGAAACTATCTTAGGCTTCTAAACAAGAAAAAATCATAGTACAGTTTCGATCCCTATAACACATCTTCTGAGCTCCATATAATGTTGGTAGCTACCTTTTCCTACGCAGAAGACTGCCTCTGTTAGAATGCCATGTCAAGCTTGCCTCTGTGGGCTGTGAACACACCCCCTCGGGACAGATAGGCAGGCCCAGTGATCAGATATGCTTAGTAACAAGATTTTTCTATCCTGAATAAATGTGAATATTAAGAAATACCCATTAAAATTCTGCACCCGCAATGAATCTGGTAGATAATACATGTATATTACCTCTCCATAAGGAATATTTCAATATCATTATCCAAGAGACAGTCATTTGGCCACTTCAAGCTACCTTACCCTGAAATTTGGCATAAGCTTGCTTTTAACTTAATTTTATTTTTATAGATTTATTCAGAGATGGATGAACTTTTATTGTGAAATTTCAGAGCTGCTCCAGTTCCACGGACCACGATTTTCCACTGAGCATTGAAGGATCATTTGTACATTGATCTCTGGCTTTGTAATGTTGGCTTTAGGGAGGCAGGGATAAAGCACAAGTTTGCTGCTGAGTATGTTAAAGTACTCTATTTGTTCATTGTATATTTTACACATTAGCTGTATGGTAGTAGTTCCTCCAAATTATGAATAACATATTAAACAGAATTCAACAAAGGCAATCTTTGAAAGATTCAACAGAGAAAGTTATAGCTATTTAAATGTGGTGTTAATATATACCATAGCTTTATGTAAATGCCTCTTCATTTACCTTCCAGCTTCATAAGGCACCTCAATTACTCTTTGCCCAGAGAGGCTGTGAAACATCCTCTGTTTTTGTTACTCAAACAAACAGCCAGAGGTTGGTTGGACATCAGGTTCAGCTAATTGAACAGAAATGCTACTAGGCATGACATAAGAAATTGCTGAACATGACCAACATTGTAAGGAGTGAAAAAAAAAAAAAAGTTACAGATAGTGAGGGAGGGATTGAACTCTCAAGTGGTCAAGGGGGAGTCAGAAATGGCTAAATTTCACATACAGGAGGGAAGCACTGGGGACCTTTGTGGGAGCCAAGCTTTGCAGAGATGGAGTTTCAGAAAAAAGGTATCAGTAAAAGCATGCGAGGATAAGGTTACCTAGGTAACGGAACCAAAAATTTCAAATTTGGGTATGGATATATCAAAATTGACTCTGAGGATGAAGGCAAGGAGAATAATAGAGGTACATGTAGGTTGCCTGGCTAGGCAAAACTCAAGGCAAAGAAAAAGGAGGTACCACGGCAGCAAAAAATGAGGGCTGACAAGCAGGAAAATGAGTAAGTATGCGAGTTACATTACACAGGTTGACTGACAGCTCTGTACTTACTCACAAAGCCTGGAGCACAGCAAAAAAACAAACCAGTCATTCTGATCATACCCAAGGTTAAGCTTCCCTTTCCCAGTCCTCCTGCCCAGGAGCAAAAGCTGCTTTCCCTGGATAGCGGGGGAGCACTTGAGATGAATGAACAGAGCATGCCAGGGTCCTCAAATCAGGCCTTACAGCATCAGCCTTGCCCCAGTCACTTGCTAACAGTGAAATCTCAACTGTCCTTCAGGGAATTTTGTATATAAAAGAGCACACTTAACCCTCACAGCCTTTGTTCAAAGCAAATTTAGGACCCATCACACAAAGTAAAATTTTATTAATGTTGGAATAAATATTCATTAGTCAATGTGACTCAAAACAGTCTAAAATAAGGTGTATTGTTTACACTGAGGAGAAAAACAACCAAAAGAAATGTGCAAATGCAGGCTATATATAACTTTGTGTGTTGATCTTAAGTAATGCCACACTTCTACCTCTGTTGACAACATTTTACTCATGTGCACTTTCCTCACACTGATTTACTTAACTCTAACTTTTACTGCTGCTAAATATCACTTCTGATTTTAACCTGGAATAATTCTTTGTTGTTATATGCCTATTTGTGATTCACATCCATTTTCTTCTCCATATATATCCATCGCAGCATACAGCTTTGAGGGATTTATCTCAAGAAAATACGGTCCCCAGAGCAACATTAGTACCCTGGAGAACAGTGGAAAATAATAACTCATAACAGAAGTTAGTAGCTACTACTGATGTTGTTAAGCTTTATCTTATGCTACTGAAAGGTAAATTGAGGCTAGAATACTGTTTATTTGCCCTACAAATCAACATACTCAGGCAGCTCAGATACAGACATGGAGGTTTCCCTGTCCATCTGTTAGTAACCAACTAGAAACTTTCATTCATACCATCCTAAAGGCAATCTCATTTGGAGGGTATTACTGAAACAGAATCAATATTGCTGCTGATACTCTGAAACACTTAATACTTGTTTCCTTAAAACCAGATATGTTTTCAGAGCCATGTAAAATATTTACAGCAACTGTCAGAGAAAATATATAGTTATCTCCATGGCTGTCTTCAAGCCTAAATTAAATCTTGCTGTCATGATACAGTACCCTTGGTTGGTTAGGAAAAACAAAACAAAACAACAACAACAACACAGACACGAACCTAATAGCCATAGTATTAATATTTTTAAAAAATCATTCTGTTTCTCTAGAAATTTCAAAAGATTCAAGAGACAGTGGTCTTACATTCCTCTTTTGTTCATTTTGACCTTCTGCAACATGGACTTCATGCTTTTTTTTTTTTTTTTTCCTATATTCAGTGTTTCCATTAGAATCAAAGACTTTCATAAGGCAGTATTTCTTATGTGGGGAAAAAAAAAAAAAAAAAAAAAGGATCTTTCTGCAACATTTATTTATATCAGAAACACTATTCTAATTTATTTTTGCAAATTAACTGAAAATCCAGACTCCCATGCCTCAGAGCTGCTATGGAGTGCACCCTTAACCCTGTACACAGCCACAGCCCTCAGGAAAGTGCCTGCAGTTTTTTAGTTTTTTTTGTTTGTTTGTTTTGTTTTGTTTTGTTTTTATCTTACATTCCTGCACATCTCACTTCAGACCAAACTCTGTGCTGCATTGTCCACTAAAAGACCTCTAACTGCTCAGTCCCTTAAAAGCCCTCACAAGAGATTACCTAAAGAGGAACACCACTGAATTATGGATGAATCTTCCTTCTTAAGGACAAGAGGAAACAGGATTTCCAGTCAGGCCCAACTCGTTCTTCAGTGGCATCTCACTCTAGGCCTCCTGCAGAAAGACCCCACAGCTTCATGAGGCAGCTTTCTGCTCTCTACAACAGGTGGTTTATGAACTCAAACCACCTGACCGTACCTGGGATCTCCACCACTGCAACCACCACAGCTGCACAGCATAGCAAGAGCAGGCTCCAGTGCACCCCAGGGACAAAGATTGTGTACCAGTGGTGTTTGTGTGCCAAAGACTTCGCAACACTGAGCTGTGTTACTGACCTTGGCCTGTTGGAGAACCAGACAGAGCTCTGGCTGTGAGGCCTGGGACTGCTACTGCCCATCTAGCACTTGGTGGAGGGCAGCTCCCAGAAGAAAAAGCTGCAAGCGGCATGGTCTGGCAACAGCGGGAAGAAAACACTCCTACCTGTGACTTCAGAGTAAATAAAGTGCTATTGTCGCTAAGAGCCAGTGGTTTATTGGAACCAGCTATGCTTAAACCTTGTGTCTGCATAGAGGAGGAGTGTGGTAATTATTGAAGATAAGTTTCTCCTGGGGAGAGAAAGTTATAGCTATTTAAATGTGGTGATAAAATATATGTTATGCATTATATATATTATATTATGTATAATATATATATATATATGTTAAAAAAAAATAAAATCTGCTGCCCTGCCCTTATTCCCTGGGAGGTTTGGTGCCTGCTGTAAGGCCAGGCTCCAGGATAGTGCTGGAGCTTGCCCAGGTCTTGAACTATTACAGCTGTTCCACGTGTGCCAGTGTTTATCAGGGTGACTACAGAGTGTGGGGGGCAGGGGTAAGGTAAATGGCCTACACGGTGTCTCCTCAGGCCTGTTGCTGCAGGGTGAAGGCTTGAGCAGAAGTGGACTCAGGCAAACGCCTGATTGTGTCACTGGTGGTATAAGCACAGCTTTTGCTTCTATGACCAGCTATTCTCTGGTTAAGTATGAAGTACTTCAAATCCACAATTGCCAAAGTAGAGTAATATAAACATAATAATAGTATAACAAAGAGACTAAGTCCTCCAACTTCTTGTCTTCCATTCGTACTTCTGAACTAAAAGATGCTGCCATGCTGTACATATAATTAGTGCTTCAAAGTCTCTGGACCCGAAGTCATATTGCAGCTGCTGTTTAGTGATAGAAGGTAATAGATACTAAGGAAATGCCTATGAGAATTGAGAAGAACTTCTTGAATAAAGATTGTTGTTCGGGAGTTACCAACAGAGAAAAACTAGTCATAGCAGTTGTAAGAGCACCTTGACCTGTTTAGCAGCTTCAGACCTCATGAAGCAGAGGGCAGAGGCTGAAAGGTAGCAGTTTACACAGAACATATATGAGTCTTTTTTGAGGAAAAGAAGTATTGCTTATGTTGTTATGCATTGCTACTGTGTGTGCAGCATATTGTTATCCATGATACTATGTAAATACAAGGGGCTTATGGAATAGTGTTATACCTTAGGAATCAGACCTACTGCAAAGGGGAGGGCATCTGTAAGGTCTCCCTTGAGGACTTGTCTCTTGCAACAATTTGAGATACAAGTAGCAATCAGGACAGTAGCCTTGAGACATTCCCTGAGGCTCAACAGCATTATAGTCAAAGAAAGCTATAGATGTTCTCCGTGTGTCCTGAAGGAAAGGTCTGAAATATGATTCATGAATCACCATTGTTTGAAGAGAACTGCATAATTCAGGGGGAAAACAAAACAAAACAAAAAAACAGTTGCTGCACAGAAATGAAGAGCAGTCTTTCAGACTTGATACCTTTCCCTTGGGGACAGGAGATTTGGCAGGGATATTTTGCCAACTTATATCCATAGGAAATGTTCTGTGTCATTTGTTTGTCAGTGGATCCTGTCATAGTTTTCACACATCAATTTATGTGACAAGGATCAGGGATCCATTCCAGGCAAGCGGTTGTAGGTTTACACTAGAATTCACTACATGGCAATGTGTATTCCATATGCAGCCACCTTCCCTTCCCTTGATTTAGGTTTGTGTGGGTAAAATACCCTAATAACCTTAGAGGTGACAGCAACCAACTTTGCATTTGTACTTAACATTTGAAGGAATGTGTTCTTTATCTATCTCATCTGATGAGAAAGTGCCTGACATGACTACAAAAAAAGTTAAGGGTGTTCAGTATGATTGTCCAAGGAATCATTTTTCCTTCTGGAAGACAAAATGGAATGTCATCAGGATTCCAAGAGTATTAGGACTTGTATTTTACTTCTTAAACCTAATATTCTAGAATTCATCCTCATTTTGTAGGACTCACATTTTCCAACATGGGCAATATCTCAAGGTCTAACCTGAGTATATAGTAAAATTCAAGACAAATCTAAGCATACACCAGGAATCTAGGAATAAAGAACATGTGATAAGCCTGGGTAATATTTTTTGCAAAGTAACTCTGATCCACCTCTATGAGAAGAGGAAGATTTTTTTTTTTTTTTTGACAGAACCATGATAGAATAGATTGTAAGCACAAACAGTAGCAGAAGTCTCTGGAAAAGACACATTGGTGGGATAATTGTTTTGGGATGGGATGGACAAAAGCAGCAGTTTATTCTTGGCTTACACACATGGCACAACATACAGAACCAGCACAAATAACTTACAAAATCTCATACACCATGCTTCCTCTCAAACAGCTTCTATTAAGTTACAACACCATAACAAACCAGGTATTTAGTTACAACAGATTTCAGACATGGATAGCCTCCCATTTAAGGAGTTATTGTTTTTGTAAACTACTTAGACAAACATCATTTTTTTACATGTTTAATACAATACAGTATTGTTAACAGTGTTCAAGATATTCACAATGAGAATTGAATACTTTATAAAACAGAAGAATTTCTCATCTAGAGACAGGTCTACTTTTGCTCCCGCCTTGTCTGGTTTACAGATGTGTTACAAGCCTTCTTTACTCAACTTTCCAAGCTAAACATTGCTTTAAATTAAAAACAAAACAAAGCAAAACAAAACAACAACAAAAAAACTACCAATATTTACATTGTTTCCAATTTAATAAAAATTTATTTGCTTTCCTTTCCCATTCCTACCCCCTATCCCCATCAACAACTGCAATTTAGCTGGTAGAAATATTAACCCTCAGGCTGCTATATAAACTTTAAACAATTCTGATGACAACTTGTTAGATGCAAAATGAACAATGGTCATAGCCCATCATTAAAGGGTGGCCTTTTTTTCTCCTGATGTCAGAATTTGTGTCCATTGGAGACAGATGACACCTGTCATCTGATTTTTAGAGATAATATGTTCTTTCAGTGCCAATGATGTACAATACCGATTTTTTTTTTTTTTTTTTTTTTTTTTTAATTGCAGGTGATCCCACTCTATTTGGTGCAATCATGAAATTCTGTCCCTACTAGAAATGGTAACAATTGCGACCACATGGTACTGCCTTAAACTCTCCCAGACCATATTAAAACAAAGAGTGTCTCCCCCTGCCTATGGTCCAATTGTGCTGGGTTGTCTCACAAAAAGAGTTTTGCTCCATGATTCCACTTCAAACCACACTAAAGCCTGTGGGCATCTTTTCCTTGACCTTTGGATCTTTGACCTTGGTCTTCGAATCATACTTGATATACTTGATATAATTGGGTTGGAAAACTCTAGCTCTTGAGCAGTTAATCAGCTTTCTAAAGAAATAAGCAAAAAAGATTCCTTTATACATAGAATACGCTTTTTTTTTTTTACATTGAGCGTTATCATAAAAAGCATGTTTATGTTATTTTGAAAATGAATTTTTACAGAACTTTATAAATGCTGTTATATCAAACACATTCTCAAAAACTGGAGAAATTACTGACACAAAACCTGAAAGAGCCTCAATAGAATTCTTCCAGTACTATTTCTCTACTTGCATATTTCATATTTCAGTGTCCTTTACTGCAAACGTAATTTGGCTATATGGGAACAGGGAAAAATCAACAAATCCCCAACAGTTTTGAATAAGACCTGCATCCGTTGTTTAATGAAAGTAACAAAAACACTTTTTTTAGTAACACTAAAACACTTTTTTTTTTTCTTTCTTTTTTCTGGCATGCCCATTCTATTATCTTTACTCACATTGAGCAATACCTTAATTCACAAATAGTTTCATTGACTTTAGCAGAATTACATGTGACAAAATGACATATGCAAAAATACTGAAAACCATTTTCCACTTTTAAAACCATTCTTCAGTTAACAACTAACATCATCATATTCTTCTTTATATATATTGTAATTAAAAATGACATAGGAGTAGTATTTTCAAACTTCTGTATCAGAAATCAGTGTACAAACTTTAGGAAGTAATCTTACAGTTGTGCTATAGTCCAGACAGCCTAAAAATGCTTGAAGTGTGACCAAGAGTAAATTTCACAGGCCTAAACGCCCTGTTTATATACTTGGGTTTTAACACTTTTTATCCCCCTAGGCTGGCACAACTTAAGTTTAAGCATACATATGTCACACTAGCACAAAATTATAAAACTTTTCTTACCACCACCAATTTTCAGTACAATCAGTAATGGATATTAATGCATATCAGCTAAGTGAAATGCACTTTTCAAGTAGTATGTCTAACATAATACTGTACAGATTATAATGACTTTTTTTTTTTTTCCCTATCTTGCAAAAGTTCAAAAATGCATTGAACTTTGTATTTTGTGAGTAGTCTTATTGACTATAGTGATATAACTCACAGCTCAGGAAGTTAATCAGATGGATAAGGTTTTGTACTCTGTCTCACAATTTTCTTTGTTTTCCATTTAATGAAACGATCAAAAAGAGAAACTTTTTTTTTTTTTTTTTTTTTTTTTTAATATTACTGAACGGCTTGAAATATTGAAATATAAATTGTGAAAGGTAATTGACAGTAGTGTCCTCTGTGTTTCCACATCTCATTTTAAGTGCTTTCTCTTGGCATTAAATACTAAAGGTATAATCCTTACTAGAGAAGAAAGAATGCAAGCCATGCTTAATCCCAAATTTTAACTTTACTGTAACATGTACAGTCACCCGTAAAGGAGCCCTTTTGACAAGACAATGTATGTTAACTTAACAATTTGTAGAATGTATCTTTTGGTCACTGTAACAAAACAGGTTATATATATACATATTAAAAAATATAAGTGTAAATAATTATAGAGTATTTCCACACATAAAACAACTGTTTGCACATGATGTGAAATGTAAAGCAAATTGCTGAAAATTTTTTCAGTCTTTGGGATGATCAAAGTATAAGTAACTGAAAATTACAAATAATGATTGAATTTTCATAAAAGAAGGTTTATGATAGAGGGGCAAAAGGAATGCCCCTCCTACTCACCCTCACTCCCCATTGATTTTAGACTCAACCCCTTCCCACAATAAGCCACCATTTTTTTTGGTGTTCTTGGATCTAGCAATATATTTTAATGAGGTTATCTTCTCCTGTATAACAGTACTAATAAGGTTTCCAGTGACTTTTTTTTCTTTTCTTTTTTTTTCTTTTTCTTTTTTTTTTTTTGTTTTTTTTTTTTGTAAAATGTAGTCCTTATTGAAGTTTATACTGCTTCAGAAGTTTTAGGCTATGTAAACTACAGAAGAATATAAATTTAATCAAATTAAGTGGAAGCCTAATGAAACAGAAAATCCTTTATTTACTGTGAAAATTTAGTTACCTTCTATTTTGATAATTCAATCCAGTTTTTACTGCCCCCCCCCCACAAAAAAAAAAAAAAAAAAAAAAAAAGTATTGTAGTTACAAGCCTGTAATTATACACAGCAAAGAAAGAAAACTGCTCCTTGCCTATGGAAATGTGTATAGTTTTTCAAGTTCCAACCCCTCTTTGAGCTGCTAACCATCACACAACATATGCCATTTGGCAATTTGTCTCCTAGGATATTCACAAATTTCCTTCCAGTGCTCTCCACCTGTTCCTTCTGCTGAAGATCCCAAGGTTAACCGGCCAATGACTTCATTTCTTGACCCTCTATCTGAATCTAAAACCAGAAATTCAATGCTGATATCATCAAGGCCCTCACAAGGAATGTCAAAGACAAACAATTCATTGAACACTGCATTGGGGGTACACTTCTTCACATGGGTTTTCTTTTTAGAAATTCTTTTCTTAGCATGGTACAGGTTCACTTTGACATAAGGATCTGCAATGAAAAGAAAGAACACAGGCAAGTTATTGGACTGTCATTTAGAAATTCCTTGATCTAGTTGATGGATGGTAAATTTTGTAATATACCAGCAGAACTATGTTCCAGTGAGGGCTGGTTTCAAATTAGTGAAGATGATTTGTCTCTTTTTTTTTTTTTTTTTTGTGTGTGTGTGTGTGTGTGTATGTGTGTGTGTGTGTGTGTGTGTGTGTGTGTGTTTACTTCTGAATTAGTCTCTTTAAGCTGCTTTTATGGCCACCAAATATGTAATCAAGACATCAAGACAGCCAGTAGTTTAGGGTGTGATTCATCTAATGAAAGAACACAAAATTGTAATGAATTCTGACAAATATCTATCACTATGTATTTACATGTAGCAGAAGTCTGCTTTTCATGCATTTTACAATTTTTACAATCATTTGTGTTAATAAGACTCATGGAAAGCAAAGCCTCAAAACCAAGAGAATAATCCCATGCTGAGAGAACGGATGTAATTCATTTCAGTTGCTTTTTTTTTTTTTTTTAATAGTCAATAAGCTTGATTAAATTTCTCCCACCAATTTTTATTGAACAAATTTAACATTAAATTTTAAATGTGAGGCTTGATAGGATATGTACTTGGCTTTATGTCTGTACTGTACTATTGAAAAAGGGAAGAGAAAATATCCATATTTTATCTCTGTTAAGTAACTTTGAGTGTTTACATTCCTTGGAAGTTTTCAACTATTGCAAGATTCCTTCACTGTTGTCTTCAACAGTGGCTATATTTTTTTTTCAGAGAAATTCTAAGGAACACTTTAGAAATCATCCCTTTCAAGTAATTTATTTTGCATTTATATTTACATGTATTTCAGTGCAAATATGTGCCTGTTTCCAGATTGTAATGGTGCAGAGATGCAATGCTAATTCCTTTCTATCAACTGAAATAGTCTATGATGCATATTTAGAAATTTTGTGCCAAAGCTATCAGAGTGAAATGGTCAGATAATAAATTTTTTGTTACCTTGGGTTGACAATGGTTTGACAGGAGTAAGGTACAATAGAATAGATCTTCACTTTCATAGTCTATCATCATAATAAACATTTTAAAAATTGCCTTTATATAATTAAAACGTTCATTAGCTTTGGAATAAGAATATGCTACACAAATGCTAAAAATATCAAAATCGGTATCCATCAGAGCATTCATGCCATTGTTCATTTATTTTTAAATAACCATTTCTGACTGTTATTTCTGGCTAATAGATAAGACTGGAATATTCCTCTTAATTTTATTAAGACTACTAGGAGAACTCATCACCAATATTTCTTGGTGTGAGAAGCAGAAAGACTGTGTTATTGGCTGTAGTAATTATGATTCAGTGGTTGCAAAAACTACTTTTTTCTTCCATCAAGAGAATCCTTTGTGTTGAAAAAGTTAAGTCTTATACAGACTCAATAGCAGATGTGCTACACTTTTTATAGTCCTCTGCTGTGTACTGTTCTTGTGTATTTGTCTTATTCTCAGGTGGTTAGTATATTGCATTTTAAATTTTATTATATTATGTTATCTAGCATTAATGTGCATCTAAATGCAATTCTAGTATTGACTTCAAAGAAAGTTTCACTGAATGCAAAATGGCACAAATCATGAGAAGGGACTGCAAAAGCTTTAGTGTACCCCAAGCAGTGGGATAGTTCACCTTTTCACCTTGTCAAATAAATGTTAATGCTCAGTGGGCCAAATTCAGCACAGATGTAACGGGTTGCCTTTTTGGATGCTAAGCTGAAATATACCATAATATTTGAGGATCTATGAGGATCCTCAGATGGGGGTCTCACTCAATGTTGATTGTAAGTAAACTGATCTTTTGTCATAAATAAAACCTTTTAGTATCTGCAAACAACATCCCATAATTATGGCAGATGGGTTCTGTTCAAGACAATGACAAAACTCATTGTCTTCCAGTGCTAACAGATGTCATATTTTTTCTAGTGTGTTTGAAGAACAAATTTCTAAAATATATACCTTGCAAAATAAAGCATTGACCTAGATATGAAAGAAATTAATAGACTAGAAATAATAGAGACAGCCTATCTGCATTTCTCAGCTATTTTTAATATTTGAAATGTCACATTTCAACTGTCTTCTGTCTGTTTATTGTACATACTTTGGGCTTATTCATTAGTAAAATCATTACCTGATAATCCTGACACATCAGACTTAGGTAGATGCCTGGCTTTTAAAACAACAACAGTTAGCGTGTTTGTTGTAGACTGATAACAGAGAGAGATCAGTAATTCTCCACGCCCAGATGATTTCTGAGGAAATAAAAGGAAAAAAAAAAAAAAAAAAGACTATTTAAGAGCAATTATATAATTATATTGACAACACGTGAAAGTAGCACTAATATTTCTCAAATGTCAAATTACTGTGCATCTCAGTCTGGTGTAAAAGTGTATAATTAATGGAGCTATGCTGCTTTGCCTAGCAAATATAACTTCCTTGTACTACAGTTACATAACTCTTCTTATCATTGATTATTAGACTGAACAAAAGTAAATAAGTAAATAATAAGTAAATAAATAAATAAATGAAAATATAGGTTGACATGACATCATTATATTCACAGATGATAAATGGAATCCTATGGGGATGTGAGGGGGATTCTCAGTGAAAGAAAAACACCTTAAGGAAAATAAATAAATAAATAAATAAATAAATAAATAAATAAATAAATAAATAAATAAATAAACCTTCTGTGAAAACTATGTTGATAAAAAATGAAAGGTAATTCACAAAAATATCTTCAGTATAACCTTTTTAGCCATTAGCTATTCAAAAACAATTAGTGAAATCTCATCCCTGACACTTTCTAAAATAATATAAATGGAATAAAAGTGAGATTTCCTATATCATTATTAGATTTAAATTTGCAGGAGTAATTTAGTTCACCAAAAGTCAATGGAAACAAACAAAAAGAGTACCTTACGTTGCAGAAAACCTAGTAAGTTATCAACAAAATACCAGTGACATAGTTAAAGTGGTAATATAGAGATAGAATATCAAAATAATATTAGTTAAAGGTGTGTTGTCTGGGAGACATTTATTTAATTTGTCAGCATGCTTGTTCTTTGAAAAAATCAGATTGAAAGTCAATATACAGTCCACTTCCTTAGCAGAGACTAAAAGACTTGTGTGTGATGCATGTGCATTTCTGTGGTTCAGCTATGATTGTAATCTTTACATTCTGAAATGATAAAAAAATGTATTACATATTTTTATGTATTTTAGATATTACATATTTTTAGCCTAGTGAAGTTAACATGCTTTGGCATTGACTTCAGTGGAGCTTTACCATCTCCCTCATATCTTATAGTTCTTAGAAGTGCCTCTGCCATGGTTGTTATGAGAGAAAAGGTAGTTACAGCTCTGAAGTGAAAGAATGTGCTACTGCACCACCAGTAGAGTCTCAAAGAGGTTCCAGTTCCTTCAATAAAGTCTACCCGTATTCTTTAAGAACTTGCTTATCAACCCCTGGAGATGAAGTGAAAGATTTGCATCGATTTCAATATACTTTGAGAAAATATGATTTCAAACAGAAAAGAGGAGTATAATAATAATAATAATAATAATGATGTATAAATCTTTGCATTCTTTCCTGTAATGTTCTTTGATTTCATTTGTATAGCTACTTCTTTATGCTGCCACTATGGAAACATCTCAATAGCTCATATGGTAAACTTGTACCCTTCTCTTTCTCTAGCAACATTGCACAAGAATCATAGCTAAAACTAGTACAACACTTCTAAATTTTAAATAAGAAATATGTTACCCTAACATTTCTTTTGATGATCTCTCTGTCCATTAGCATCCTTCCTTCTGACAATTCAATTCCTGCAAGGGGAATGAGGACTTCTCCAATGACATCATCTCTGGAAAACCTGTCAAAGCTCAAGATCATAAAGTGAAGTGTTAAGTCTTGAATTTGGCTGTAGGGGATCCCATAGAATGTGAAAGTCTCATCAAAAGCTGGATCTAAGGTTTTTCTCAGCACTCTGGTTTTCACCTTGTGCTTTTTCTCAGGCAGAATTGTCATTTTGATGTAAGGATCAGAAGTCATTGACTGTTCATCCATTGCTGGCAGACCACGTGCTTCCTTGATGTTCACTACAAATGCCTTTTTCTCAAAGTTGTACTCTAAAGAGAAAAAGAGAGTTCCTAGCTTGTCTTGTTTTTCTTCAGATGACAAGGATGTGATGGACTTTAAGCTATCAGGGGATACTGAATCTTTCTTCCTTTCTGAAAACTGTTTTGGAGACACATTTTCAAGATTTGGAGAGCTCTGCATTTTAGAGGTTGTTTTGGGGAAATTGCCATTTAGATCTTTCTTCTCCAGGTCTAGATGGAGAGAATTCTTAGGCATTGCCGATTTGTTCTTTGCTTCACTTTTATCATCTGCTCCAAACTTCTTCTTACTGTTGAGATTCTCAGGATAAATATCAACTCCCTTCAGAACATGGACAAATTTATATGGAGGGGTCTTATTGGATTTGGAAGATTTGCGCTGACAGCAGATCCAAGCAAAAAGGGAGACAGAGAAGACAAGGCCAAATGCACTAAAGATCCCAACCACTGTAGGAATTTCATCTGCAAATTAAATAAACAGCAACAAGCACATAAACAGCAATGCCTTGGACTCTGTGTGATATTTAATAAAGTAAGAATTTAGCAAAATAAACTGATACGAGATGGTAGTAGCAGCAGAGTCAATGGACTGAAAGTGCTTTGCATTGTACATATCGCTCGCCACCTGCAGGCGTGAATGTGCAATCCCATACAAAGACAATTGCTATGTTAGTATTTTTCCATATATTGCGTGTCTGGAAGGAAAATGCTGTTCTCATCCTAACAGCAATAATCATAAGTGATATAATAATAGGTATATAATCATAAGTGATAGCTCAACTATCTCATCCCTCTAGGTGTAGTTTCTGTGTTTATATGTCAGTGAGTAAAACTATTTCAGGTTTCATCTTTGAATTTATGTAGCTTTATTGGTTAGGTAATACTGATTCTGAAGTATGTGCTACTTATAGATACAGCATCTTCTTTTCACACCACTTCCTAGAACACTTTGTACACTCAATTAACCCATTCTTATGGTATAATCCCATAACTGCAAGGTATCTCTTTAAAAAAAAAAAAAAAAGTTTACTGGTTAGAAGTTATAACACTCAACAGTTAACAGTTTCAATGGGATTTTCAGTACTTTGCTGGAAAAAGACTACCATGTTATATTTAGGATATAAAAAAGGATATATTTAGGATAATTATATTCCATATGTATTACACAGATGGATGTGACACTGGGCAGTCACACATGAGTCCAAAGCTGAAAAAATTGTTTAAGTGATACCTTTCAATTTAAAACGTTATGAATCAAAGCCATGGGGAGTTTACAAGAAGGGTCACTACTTTTTAGCAGTATATAAGAAAAACATAAAAACTGAATTCTCCTCTAGTTTAATATGAATCCTGTAGTAAAATACTGAATGAAGAGAAAACTGAGCAAGCATTCCAACCTCAGTTGTCATGTGGATACATTAGTTACATATAGAGTATCATTAGCCCTTCACAAGGATTCATCGAAAGGGCAAATGAGCACAGCTAATTGGAAATCCAATTTTGCCCATAAGTAACACTACTAAGTGAGTTTAAAACTCCCACAATATAACAATAAGAGCTTAATCTTTATTCTCTACAACAATGGAGACCAGTAGAATATTAATGGAATGACATTGTTTATGCATAAAAGCAATTGTGTAACAGTTCTGGTTCCTCTAATTCGCATCCGGGAGGATCTGCAAATAATTAGCAGATCCTCCCAGATGCGAAAAGCAAAACTATCCCCCTCTATGAATTACTAAATCAGGTTCATCTAGGTAAAAGCTGGACAAATAGATGTGCTACCACCATAACTTCGCTTTTCAGTGCGATGAGTCAAAAAAAAAACAAAAACAACAACAACAACAACAACAACAAAAAAAACAATAGTAACGCAACAAAGTAGGACATAATGTTCCAGCACAGAAGGAATCAAGCCTGGCTATTAATTTCTTCTGACAATACTCATGCCACTTCACCTTTACCTACAAACTGTATCAATCTACGTACTTAATCATAAGGATTTAATGAAAGAACTGAAAGATATATACATAATTAAAACCTATTTTTTTCCAAGTTAAACACGTGGCTCTGAGTTACAAGAATTCCCTGGGCTGCAGAAATTTAAATGTACATGGTATAAAGATAGAAAATAAGGAGTAACTGAAAATTAATTAGAATATTTTAAATAGCTTTTAAGAAAGATTTTCACATTTTCAATACTTTTCCAAGAGATGACACAAAAATTTTATATTAATGAAAATTATGCTATATTTTTATTCTACAACTACTGAAAGCAGTGGTAGAATCAATTTAGTATTTAAAATATTAATTAGCTGACTTAAATAAGTAATTAGATAAGGATGATGTCACAAGCATAGCTAGAGACATCAAGTGGGTGGGGCAGGCAGGAAAGAAGAGGGAACGGTAACTAAAATGTTTTTATATTTATAGCTAATTATATTACAACATGAATTTCTTGCTGTTGTCATAATTTAAATCAGTTAGTTATCATTCAAAGCAGTGTATTAATAGGAAACATCACTTATTGATCCTGGGAGAAATTATTGTTTCAGTTATGTGATGCAAATCTGGAGTCACTTCACTTAAGTCAGTGGAATGATCCCTGAATTAAACCACTGCTAAAGCAAATAACATCCAGGCTAGAGTCAATATTTGTAAAGCAGAGTTCAGAAATATTTCTACTCACAGCTTTTCTGAGTAAAGCTATTTAGTTACCTGTTCCGTAAGTGCATATTATGACTTTTTCTGAAACTTCCATTATCACAGTTATTCAATATGTAAAAATGACACAACTCAAAAGTTCATTGTTACCATTGCTATTCTCAGTGAACACAGATTAATCAAGACAGAGCTGTTTAGCCAAAAACACTGTGATTCTGTACTTTCATCCTCCTAGCAATGTTCTTTACAGGACTACATTTCACTTTAACTAAAGGTTGACAAGTCTTCCTCTATGACAAGAAAAGAAGAATGACAATTATTTCAAGAATGACAAAGATTTTATCTGTGGCACAAGATGCGTTTACATCATTTAAGTCCAAAGCCATGCTACTTTAACTGAGACAGAGAAAACAACCTCATCCAAAAATGCACCCAGTCAAACCTCTCCATCTCCCCCAGTGATTTAGTGTGGGGAACGGGCAGGGGGAAAGGAAGAGAGAGGGATAGAAGGGCAAGAAAGCAAATTTCCCCAACTTCTGGAATCGAACAGAACTAGGGAAATCAGGTTCCTCCCAACACGCCGCGGGCGGTGAGGCGCTGGGGTGGCTCAACAGAGCCTGCCTGCCTGCTCTGCTCCTGGGGAAGGGAGCAGCCCCCAGCAGACCCTAGCCCCTCTGCCGGGACGGGGATGCGCTTACCGAAGTGCTGGCGACTGGCCGCGATCGGAGCCATGTTGGCAGTGTGTGCTGCCCGCGGAGCTGGGAATGATGCCCGCGGTGCAGGAGACGCTGTCGCCGGACCTGGGGATGCTGTCCACGGTGCTGGAGCCTCTGCCCGCAGTGCTGGAGCTTTCTGCCGAGGAGCCTGAGCCGGTGTCCAAAGACCTGCCCGGAGCCCTGTCTCTCAAACCACCCGGGCAGCCGGCTTTTCCAACGTGTTTAAAAAAAAAAAAACAAAAAAAAAAAACGGAAAACAAAACCTGGAGACACGAGCGGTGAAGAAGGTGGAGGAGGAGGAGGAGGAGGATAAGAGGGGGCTGGAGGAGCGGGGGGAGGGGAAGCTTCGGTCCTCCCCTTTGCACACTGATTTGCAACCCCCTTCCTGTTTTGGCTCTTCTGAGTAGCTCTGCTCCGAGACTGAAGACGTGGTTGAAACCCAAATTGACGCAATCCTGACGCTACAGGGCTGAAATCAGCACCTTTCCCACTTCCCATCCCCCCCTCCCAACCACCACACCCTCCCTCTCTTCGTCCCTTCTCTCCCCCTTCCCCCCCCCTCCATCTTCCTTCGGATTGAACATGCACTCATCGATTATTTTAACTGCCCTGCTGCAGGATATGAGCTCTCACCCTCTGTCGGACACAGACAAGGGAATGCTAATGTCTGTGATTCAATGTGTCTTGTGTAATACACGGGTGTGTCTGTTTTTCTGGGGTAAGATCTATTTATCTGCTTATTTATCTATCAGCTGGACAGGCTACAACGATATGAAGGAGATGCCAGCTCAGATGGTCCAGACACCTTGGCTCCAACTGCAAGGCAGTTTTCTCCTATGACTAACGTGATACACTTAATGGATTTGAATCACGAAAACTCCTGATGTGCCTTCTCCCTGTCCCTCCTCCCTGATTTTTCCCCACTAGCCACCCCCATACAAAACTCTAAGCCCTCACTTTGCAAATATATTTTCTCTTCTCCTCTTGACCTTCCTGCTTGTCTGGGAAAGAGCTGACTCTACTGAGATACTTCTGGATTTTACCCATTTTACATGTCTGTCTACCGGTCTGGACTAAGAACATGTAAGGGGGAGGGAAGGGGCTGGCAGATAGGAGGACTGAAGGAAAACAGAATGAGAAAGCAGAGCTGCCTGTAACTAGAACCACTACAGCATAAAATAAGCTGAGCTAAATTCTGGTGCAACAGAGCTGCAAAAGCCAGCACCTGGCATCTGACTCCTCCTGGATTCAGAATGGTAGCAGCCAACTTTGGAGACCAACTGCTGCATAAATGGGAAACAGGTGTAGTTGGTTTTCTAAATAACAAAATTTAGATGTAAACATAGTCTGGCATGACCCTGCCCCACAATGGGCTGCTTGGACGTCCTGCCCCCCCTTAAAAACATGTACTTCCTTCATACTGAAGCCAGTGAAGTTTCTTGAAGTTTAGAAATATAAAAATGGGAAGGCCAAGGAATCATTGCAAGCTATTGTCCAAACACAGCTGAATGAAATGCCTGTCTAGTCCTGAGAACTGGAAACACACTGACTAATATTGTTTATGCTTATCTGCTTCTGTTACACCTTTAGCAACTTGGCCTTGGTATGTGTCTGCCCAAGACTTCCATGAGCAGTCAAATCCACTTCTCCAACCTTCTTTATATCCTATCCCATTCAATAAAACACAGAAAATAGCTTCCCACCACCACTCTTTTTACAAACACCTGGAGTCCAATGAACTATTTTTTCAGCTTTTATGTATGTTTTGGCAGCACAATTTGATCTGGGATGTTTGGGTTCAGATGTTGGCACTAATCCAAGTACATCTGGCTCAACTTCTCTCTTTTTCCTGCCAGTCCTCCCTCCTCTCAGCCCTGCTATCCACTTCTCTTTCTCTGTCCAAAATTCATCTGTGCTCAGAATGTGCATCCATTAAAAGTAATTACATTTGATTTAAAACCACTTTCCAGGTATACAAGCCTCCAGACATGACTGAAATAAACAAGATCCTTAAATGAATTTAGAGTTAAATGTGTTTAACTGGGTTGTTAAACTATTATAAACTGTTCCAGCATCTTGAATTTAAGAACACTAGACCAATAATAAATATATGGTATACCGTGTTAGGTTATTAATCCTAGATGAGCTAGGATATTGTGAGCATATATTTTGACATTGAATTACTGTCAATAGTTTGTGAAGATGATGATGATGATTGTTATTATTATAAATTTGAATGAAATCTGAGACATCCTTTGATGATATATACAAATATATGGACCACATGAAAGTATCACAGAATCACAGAATTGAAGGGGTTGGAAGGGACCTCAAGAGATCATCAGGTCCAACCCTCCTGCCAAAGCAGGTTCGTTAGAGCAGGCTGCCCAGGAAGGCATCCAGACAGGCCTTGAACATCTCCAGACAAGGAGACTCATCAACCTTCCTGGGCAGCCTGTTCCAGTGCTCTGTCACTCTCACCATGAAAAAGTTCTTTCGCATATTGGTGCGGAACTTTCTGTGATCCATTTTGTGACCATTACTTCTTGTCCTGTCCCCACAAACCACTGAAAAGAGGTTGGCCAAATCTCTCTGTCTCCCACACTTAAGATATTTGTAAACATTGATAAGACCCCCTCTCAGTCTTCTCTTCTCAAGGCTGAACAGAGCCAGGTTACTCAGTCTTTCCTCATAGGGAAGATGCTCTAAGCCCCATATCATCTTTGTGGCCCTCTGCTGGACTTTTTCCAGGAGATCCCTGTGGTTTTTTGTACCTGGGAGCCCAGAACTGGGCACAGTACTTCAGGTGACACCTGACCAGGGCAGAGTAGAGGGGGCGGATCACCTCCCTTGACCTGCTGGTCACACTCCTTTTAATGCATGCAAGGAGTGTGGCCAGCAGATCCATTTCTGGGCTTCCTGTTACAAAAAAGACAGGGATTTCACAGAAAGAGTCCAGTGGAGGGCCACAAAGATGATACGGGGCCTGGAGCATCTTTCCTATGAAGAAAGGCTGAGACTTCTGGCTCTGTTCAGCCTGGAGAAAAAAGGACTGAGAGGGGACCTTATTAATGCTTATAACAATTATTGGTTCAGGTTTTCTTTCTTTTAGTTTCTTAGATGTCCTAAAGGTACATAAAAGCTTTTTTTATACAATGTATATGTAGAGATCATTTCCTTCAGGATTCAGATTTTTATTTTATTTTATTTTTATTCTCTGTGAATAATCTTCTGACATGGGAAAGATAAATATTCCCCCCCTCCACACACACACACACCCTCTGCCCCAAAAAACAAAACAAACAAACAAACAAACTTATACTTCTTCGGTTTTAGATATTTGTTAAAACCCCTTCAGTGTTGGCTGCTGTACAAACATATTGTAAAGAGCCTTTCCTTTCATCTAATTTCTGTGCGTGTGTAGCTTTACAAAGCACTATAGGAAAGGTTTCACAATACCACTTTTCTGTCTTTAGAAACTTGGAGCTGCCAAGACTGTGTGTGTGCATAAGCATATATAAACATATATGCAAATATGCCAATTATTTCTTCATTGCACTGGTCAATGAAATAATGAATAACCATCTTTTTACACCACTCATGAACTTTCTATATTTAATGCATGACTCTGCTTAATAGAACAGCATGCACATCCCGGAAAATACTTGAGGAGGAGGTGGAGCGTTGAGTTGCTGACACATCCTGAGACAGACACACTTTTTGCTCCCTGTGTTGTGCAAGCACCATCTAGTGTACGTCTCAGACCCATCATCAGATGACTAGCGTACACCCATGTAGGTACCACAAACAGAAATGTATGCGACCACTTCACTGCTTCTTCATGTAATTTTCTGACAATTGGCCAGAGGGGAAAAAATCATAATGTGAAGCCTCTGTTTTTATTTATTTATTTATTTATTTATTTATTTATTTATTTATTTATTTTTTAACCGGTTAAGTGACTATCTTTCAGTTCAGTCCCACACAATAATGACTCTCCCTTTTTCCCTTTTTTGTGACTGTACATTCTTCACGTTTCCTTCTGTTCTGAGAACCATCATGGACACTTCAGCAAAACTTTATAGAGTCTGCAAATAGCTTTTCAGTAAAAACTTCCACTAAAGACTCACTGTCCTAGTAATACTCCATTAAGTTTTGCAGCATATGAAATACAATGATCCCACATGCTTCCAGCTCAGAGACAGAACACTAAAAGGAGCTGCCTGACATTTTGCCTGCACTGAGTCGCAGTGGATTGATCATCAGCAAAATATCTCTGTGTATAATCTAGCTGTATCACAACAGGGCCTTCTGTGGCCTGCAAAGCAGATTGTCAGTGCTTATGCATGCGCAGCGCACCCTCCTGCCACGCAGAGGGAAGGGAGGGTGGTTGCTAAGCGACGCGGCCTGTACGCTTCCCAAAGCAGACAGGCCTGAAACCGGCATATGGGGCTGAAAAAGGGCCCCCACCTGCAAATGAACTGTCATCTTTCCTCAGATCCCCTACCCTGGGTGTGAGGAAATCCTAATCCTCCCCCTCAAAAAAAAAAAAAAAAAAAAAAAAAAGTTATACTAAACAATATCCAATAAAGAGTCAACCAACAATTACAAATAAAACTCTGTGATTTATATGTATGAGGTGAAGCTGTTGAAACAGCCCTTTCTATCTCTGTGAAATGTTTCCCTGGAGCTTAAAGACAGTTTCACATTTTCAAAAGTAGTATCTAGAATTGAGTTCTGCAGTTGCCAGGTGCCAAACTACAGACATTAATTAATCTCGGCATCAGTGAAAATCAAGCCCTCCAGCTACACTTATAGAATAAAACCTCAGTGCGAATACAGGTGGAGGTCCCTGATTTGGGGAAAGTGCAGAGCATTCAACACCTTTAAAACTGAAACAACTTCAGTGCAATCTAAAAAGGGATTTAGGCAGTTGCTCTCTGCTTAATTTCCACTTCAGTTAGCTCTGCCTCCATTTGCAATAAGAGAGTAGAAAAGGGTTAGCAGCCCTTCATGTCTCATCTCTCAGCCTTTGACACTCCTTAGGTGCATAAAGAAACATCTCTGTGTGCTACGTACACCCATAAGCCTGGATTTATAACCCAAAGAGTCATCCTGCTACCTACTAGGCCTTACAGACTCATCGATCCTCCTTGGGCTGAGACTAAATTTGTCTGCACTCACAGTAACGTCCAGTGCTACATGGGATACTTTAGCATGACCTCCAGTTTCTGTTGAAGAACGCTGTAGGCTTTCTGGAACATATTTGTCAGTCTCATGTGGAAACAGCAGATACCACAGAATTCCTGGTAACACAGAAATGGCAATAGATATAAAGATTTAAGGAACTGAATCACCCTCTAGCTGATACACCAGCCAGCTGATTGTTAATTTCAGACACTTTGGAAAGTCCATGAATGCAAGTATACTTGGATTGAAAATATCCTGGAGCCTTAGTTACCAAAAAAAAAAAAAAAAAAAAAAGTTTTGATACCAACAAT